AGTGCTCCGATAGAAGAGGATAGGTGTGACTCGCGTATTGAGATGCGACGTAGGGATAAAAAATCCTGAACAGTTTTAATATTTTTAATATTTAATATTTATCAATATATGATGAACATATATTTTAGTTATTTTAGTATGAAGACGGCAAGGCATGCAGTGAGGTAGTTTAACGTAAATCAAAAAGCACCTGAAGATGGCACCTTTGTGCCGAAACATGTAATGCGGGAGTGAAGTGGATGAGTGTATGCACTGTAAGACGGCTAGAATAAATCATGGACATACATACGAAGTTTCATACAGGCTGGTTCAGCCATTCGAAAGTTGATTGGGGTGAGGGGATTCACAGACAAAAGGACAAGACGAAGATCGCATAATCTTGCTTTGGGAATGTAGCATAGAAAGAATCCTACATCCACACAACGAAAGTAAAATCGAGTGTTCTATGGCGAGATGGGTATCACGTGACTTGTTTTCTGTGTATTCTGCGCTACGCAGCAATATAACTGTTTTCTGCGTTGTCCGTGCCTTGGCTATATAACGAGTCCGCTTGCAGCTAAGGGCAGTCCAGGAGGGTTCAGCAGTTGAGAGTACAAGGACGAGAATGGAGCGTGTCCTTAGTGATTTGTGAAGATTGAGTATAGATTAGGACAGGGGAGTAGAGAGCGATTGAAGACGAAATAACAAGAAGACTTCATAGTGATTTGAAGTGACAGTTTCTGTGTTGATATCCATTACTAGGATTTATTAATTGTAATTAAGAGAGAGTGTGTAACTGAAGTGGTAATAAATGGAACCATCCGATCTAGAACCCGTTATTTTCGTCACACGTACCCCCCTACACGAGACAATTTTCAGATTAGTTCTGGAATGGAAACAGACCAGTAAGCTTAATCCGTCAGCGAAACAAAAAGAAAGTGACTTTTTAGTCAGTTAACTTCCTCTCTTGTTTATTTACTCGGCAGTTAGTCGCTTTGTAGTGAGTGTTACGACACGTACATGCGGGCGGCTTCTTGCTCGCTTCCGCACTGACGCGATGTGTTGCAGTGTTTGTGTGGCCGACCCAATTGCCACTTGTTGGCAACGGCCGTGTTATGACAGCAGATGCGAACTGCAGGCTGGCTTCCCCATCTCGGCGTGGCTCACAGTGCCCAATCCAACAATTCGCGAAATCTGGTCCAGATCATGCGAAAATACAGACGATTTACAGTAAACTCTTGCTAATCCGGTTGCAGTTAATCCGATATCGGATAATCTGGATCGAAATACAAAAAATTCTGCTCGCAGCTGAGTAGATACTTTAAAAAGACACGTGGGGTTTAGGAGAAAGAGGACTTTTGGACTGTGTTGAGCCTGAAACCATGCAAGAAAATATTCAAGACAGGCTTTAAATGGACGAAGGCGACCCTGGATTTCTGCTTCTGATAGGGAATAAAATTCTGCAATGATTTTTTTTTATTATTTTCATCAGCATTAAGAGCCGGGACAGCGCAGTCGGTATAGCGACTGGCTACGGGCTGGACGGCCGAAGGGTCGGAGTTCGAGTTCCGGTAGGGTGAAAATTTCTCTCTTCTCCATGGCCTCCAGACCGGCTCTGGGGCCCACCCAGCCTCCTATGCAATGGGTACCGGGGGCTCTTTCCCCGGAATAAACTGGCCAGGGCGTGAAGCTAACCACTCACCAACTAATGCGGACTTCAAGAAAATGTGGATCTATACATCCACTCCCAAATACGCCTTCATGGCGTAGTGCTTAATTAGTTAAGCACAGCGACAACTTCACATTACCTTAGCAGCGAATGGTTTGGCAAAACGCCTTCGGTTCGGAAGCCTGCAAGCCTGACAGGATGTTTTTTGTGGCATCCTTCAGTCCTTTCAGGCGAATACCGGGGCAGGACATCATATTAAACAGCGTGTCTTCCTCATACATTCCTCCCAATTCATAATCATCTTATCATAGTCGAGTCGGTGCTGCGTAACTTCATAACATAACGGAACAGTGGACCAAGAAGGTAAAGGTAAGGTTGAGCCTGTGCTTAACTAATTAAGCAGCACGCCATGAAGACGTATGCGGGAGTGGAGGTATAGCTCCACAATTCTCGACCTCAGCACTAGATGGAGGAGAATGGTCAGCTTCACGCCTCTGCGGCTTTACCCCCGCTACCCGTTGGATAGGAGGCTGAGTGGGCCCCAGAGCCGGTCTGGACGCTGCGAAGAAGAGACAGCGTGTAGCTCTGCCGGCCGAAGAAGCCAGGGTCCTGGTTCCCAACAAGACATTAGCCTGCTAGCGAGACCACTGCTTCGTGTGATTCGTACCGACAGTATCACGTACTCTGTGCAATTTATAGAGCCGCTCTGGGGTCCACCCAGCCTCCTATCCTGTGAGTACCGAGAGTGGAGTAGCTGCAACATGCAGTCTACTGCTGAGCTTAGGCATGTGTGGAGGTACACCTTCATATACTCATACGTCTTCGGAAGCTGGTGTTTAAGCACGGGAATGACGTTTTTACTTTGGCCTATTTGAGCCACAGATATTACGGGCCCACAGCTATGAAACTCGCCTTAGGGGAGAAACGGGCGCGTATGAATGTCGGTACAGTTTAGCTGACTTTACCAATATTCATTTACACGTATTTTATACAATCCTATAACTGTATTTTGTTTTTACTTGGTCTCGCCCCCGGGGTGTATGAGAACAGGTTGTTCAGAAGGGAAAAACTTAAGAGGAAGGAAGTAAAGTACAGTACACAGTAAAGTACATATAAATCTGTGTCCAGATGCCATGTTAACAGAATGATGGAGAGCTACAAACCGAGGAACTTCATAATTTGTATTCAATTTGCCAAAAATTCTTATGTGTGGGCTAATAATTGATGAAGAGGCCGGGGGGGGTAATGTAGCACTCATTCGGGAAATGCCAGATGGATACAAAATTTTAATCGGAAAAGGTGCAAAGGTAGAGCTTGAAGTAAATGGGAGAATATCAAAAATTTACTTTGTGTGCGTTATTTTGCAACGTCGAATGGTAGGATGACAGATGAATGACAAATTGGAAAGAAGCGGTCGTGGCCTAATTTAAATACTACCTCGAGGTCAAACTCCGTGGCTTTAATCCGCAGGCGAACTATACCGACCGAGCGACCGCCGCTTGTCGGCGAAGTTAGTGCCAACTTCAGCGGATAGAGGGTGTCGCGTGGTCAGCGCAACGAATCCCCATGGCAGTTAATTTCGGTTTTCTAGACCGGAGCCGCTGCTTTTCCATTCAAGAAACTCCTCAATTATCCCCACGAGGCTGATTGGACCCCGTTCCAAACCCGCCACTTCTCGGAAAATCTGGTAGCGCCGGGAATCATACCCGGGACCTCTGGATCTGTAGCTAGGAACTCTGACCACTGAGGAGGTCTCAACTTGGGAGGTACTGAGGAATATCACAAACTCCTACGTCACGGACGTGATTCCAGCCGGGCAACCAAAGCTGTATCAGAACGTCCTGCATGATTTAATAAAATCTTACAACAAAAATTGTCGATTATTTTTATTTGGCTTATGCCCTTTTAGCACCGAGGGCTTCAATTTTTACGTCATCTGGCAGCTTTCATGTTGCCTCAAGACTACTCTGCGCCAGCTTCACTGACTAATACAAACACAGCGCCGGCCGCGTCGGACGCTCTAAACGTCTTGGGTATCATGTGGAAAGTCTCGTAAGTCTGCAAGCGCCGCGCAACGGGCAGACGCAAACACACACATGCACAAGAGCCTTGAGAAGGACATCTCTACTCGTAACTCGAAATAACTTGCACAGAGGGTGGAAATGAGATCCATCCTGACAGCATTTTCAGTAACACATGCTTCACGCCCCGGCCTCTGTACTCCCGGTAACCATTGCCCCTGTCAAGAACAGAACCGCGGCCGTCCAACCAATAGCCCGTCGCTATACCGACTCTTAGGCTTTTCTGTACGTCTATGATATATAAACATTTCCTGCTTACAAATCCAGAGGTCCCGGGTTCGATTCCCGGCGCTACCAGGTTTTCTGAGTAGTGGGTCTGAAACGAGGTCCACTCAGCCTCGTGACAATCGAGGAGCCATTTCAAGGAAACAGCGGTTCCGGTCAAGAAAACCGAAATTAACGGTCGTGGGGATTCGTTGCGTTGACCACGCGAC